AGTGTTTAGCCTCTAGATTGCGAGTATTAGTAGTTTAGTACCATGGTAGGTCTGGGTACATTGTACCAGGGAAATACTGAATGTCAGCAGAAATTGGAGTGCATTCTACCCTAGAAACACTAAATGTCAGCTAAAAGATTGTGAGTCGATATTTTTCCTGAATACTAAAATGTCATAAAAAAGGTGAGTTCATTGTAGCATGGAAATACTAAAATGCCAGCCAAAAAATTAGGTCTCGCCGGGATTTGAACCCAGGTCGCCAGATTCAAAGTCTGGAGTGCTAACCACTACACTACGAAACCATTTGTTGGCTGTGATCCACTGATGGTTATATTTCTGTCATTTGCCTTACAGACAATATTTTTCTTTACTCGACGGTTTGTGTTAAATTTCCTTCCCTTTTTTCGGACTTGCTTCCATGTGCAACTTTGGAGCTTAATGGAGCTAGGAATATCCGACAAATACCCTTTTTTAAATTCATCTTAGCCAAAGGCTTCACTGCATGGTTACCATAATTTTGTCTCATTGAGCTGCTATTAGGATTTACTAGGTGTTTGAGGTGCGTTAATTTGGAACAAGTAATATGGTCGCTCCATTCTGTATGACCTTGAAGGATAATTGTATTGATTGGCCAGCTGCGCTTTCAACCACTTGCTAGTGGTTATTGCAGTTACTTCTTCATGTTCACTCACATTGCTAGAATACGATATTTTGAGTTCTTGTACTGCATCACATTGCTAGAATAGATTATTGGTGAGGCATTGATATCCCATTTTGAAAACAAGGGCATACGCATCTATGGAATTAAGTCTGTTCAGTCTCCGCCGTAAACAGTGGGTAATGGGCATCTTTGGGCTTTGGTTGCAGCGACTAATCTCAAGTTAGTAACTATAGGTACTGAATGTGCCTTTCTTGATAGTGTAGTGTAAATCTTGGCAAGGTTGTAGTCACACTAATGTAAATCATAAGACAGAGGTATGCTCAAGTGTTATTAGCTTCTAGACTGAGTATTTGTACCGTGGAAGGTCTGGGTACAATGTACTAGGAAATACTAAATATCAGCAAAAAGGGGTACATTCTACCCTGGAAGCACTAAATGTCATCTAAAAAATTGTGATTCGATATTTTTCAGGACTACTATATGTCATCAAAATAAAATAAAATTATGAGCTCATTGTACTATGGAAATACTATAATGTCAAATAAAAAAGTAGGTCTCGCTGGGATTCGAACCCAGGTCGCCAGATTCAAAGTCTGGAGTGCTAACCACTACACTACGAAACCATTTGTTGAGTGACATCCTCAGCTGGTTATATTTCTGTCATTTGGCTTACAGACAAACTACTTTCCTTTACTTGATTGTCCCTGTTAAATCCTTTCGTTGGATTTGCTTCCGTTTGCCACTTGGCAGCTAAATGGAGTGATGAATGTCCAAAGAATACTTCTTATCCATTCATTTTACCCAAAGGCTCCATTGCGTGGGTACGATAATTTTCTCTCGTTGAGCTGCTATCAAGACTTACTAGGTGTTTGGTGTTTTTTCTCTTCTTCTTCATTAAGCTTCAAAAGTATATATTATGCACTTTCAGCATACATCGTATGAGAGGAAATGCATTGCTACAACCATTGGATAACAAAATCTATCTAGCTTCAACATGATTAGCCAGTAGTGGCAAATAAACACATGGCAAAAACATTGTTATTATTAACGCCAACCTCCTGGTGGTCGAGTCGCCCTTCTTACAGGTCTGTGATATCTCAGTTCTGTG